CCCGTTATCGGAGGGTGTGTGGCGATGGCAGGGGATCAGAGGGTGTGTGGTGAAAACAGGGCGTCAGAGGGCAAGGGATCAGGATTGCAAAACACGCGAGTTGCAGCTCTCCATACAGTTAGTAAGCTTAAAGAGCTCACAGAATGAAAATAAATAAGTTATATGTACTCCAAGTCAATTTAATTCAAATCCATTCATTATTAGTTGAGACAGCTTCACTCATTAAAATGTGGTTTCAATCTGAAAGAGTTAATTCATAACCAGAGTATTTAGGGTCGGGGTTTGGGTAACTATTTATTGGGATAATCGGTATCCTAAACATCACAGGGACTACTTTTTAGTCGTAACCACACTATTTAGGGTCGAGGTGATTGTAACTTTTTATTGGGATAATCGGTATCCTAAACATCACAAGGATTACGTTTTAGTCGTAACCAGAATATTTAGGGTCGTGGTTTGGTTAACTTTTTATTGGAATAATCGGTATCCTAAACATCACAGGGACTACTTTTTAGTCGTAACCACAGTATTTGGGGTTGGGGTGATTGTAACTTGTTATTGGGATAATCGGTATCCTAAACACCACAAAGACTACTTTTTAGTCGTAACCACATTATTTAAGCCTGTTTTCCACTAGGCGTATTTTTTCGCGCGAAGAGAATTTTTTCGCCGCGAAAGATTTCGAGCAATTGCGCTTGCATTTTCCACTACACAAGCGATTGTTTCGATCATTCTTTGTTTCATAGCTTCATTCGGATCATTGCTGTTGATCGTTGTTCTAGTTTACCCCAAGCTGGAAGACTCGGCTTCTTGAACGTCAGGTTGAGTTTCGCCGTCAATATCGGTACTGTTTGTGCCAGCTGGAAAGTAGATGTGATAATTATTGATCGTTGTTTTACTATTCTACTTCCGTTTTGTTATTGACGGAAGTACTTCAGGTGGCGCTATTTGCGTCCTTGACCTTCCGCCGTTTTTGACTTGTGATTTTGCCATGCTTCCTTCAAGTTGATTAAAGCTTATAAAAGCCATCATCATTCGTCTTATTAATCACATCTATGACAATTTAATCAACTTGAAGTATTCTATTAGAAATGGATCGACATCTTAGACCGGACCGTATCGATACGGACCCAAACTCTCCCGACGCAGCAAAGTCATGGCGACATTGGAAACGGACTTTCGAGAACGTTAGAAGCCGAAGATCGATTGCCGATATAAATAGCTTTAATACTGCAATGGAAACACTTGAGGCAGCCTATGACAAACCCAAAAAGCTAATACTTTTAATTTTTGAAGAAACTGATCTAATGTTTGACCCATTTCTTGCTTGCTAGTTGCGAGTAAATGTCTTGCAAAAATCTCGTGGAAAACAGGCTTAAATAATGTGGTTACGACTAAAAAGTAGTCTTTGTGGTGTTTAGGATACCGATTATCCCAATAACAAGTTACAATCACCCCAACCCCAAATACTGTGGTTACGACTAAAAAGTAGTCCCTGTGATGTTTAGGATACCGATTATTCCAATAAAAAGTTAACCAAACCACGACCCTAAATACTCTGGTTACGACTAAAACGTAATCCTTGTGATGTTTAGGATACCGATTACCCCAATAAAAGTTACAATCACCTCGACCCTAAATAGTGTGGTTACGACTAAAAAGTAGTCCCTGTAATGTTTAGGATACCGATTATCCCAATAAATAGTTACCCAAACCCCGACCCTAAATACTCTGGTTATGAATTAACTCTTTCAGATTGAAACCACACTTTAATGAGTGAAGCTGTCTCAACTAATAATGAATGGATTTGAATTAAATTGACTTGGAGTACATATAACTTATTTATTTTCATTCTGTGAGCTCTTTAAGCTTACTAACTGTATGGAGAGCTGCAACTCGCGTGTTTTGCAATCCTGATCCCTTGCCCTCTGACGCCCTGTCTTCACCACACACCCTCTGCTGAATGGTTAGCGTGCGCGCGCTGTATCATAAAGTCTGTCATTGAGTCGACTGGCGTGGTTTCGAATCCCCGGTTGTACGGTTTCCTCCCACTGCTAAAGACCCCTACGCGCAAGCGAATTATGTAAATAAAATTAAACCATATGTTAGTCCCGAAATGACCTAGTTTGTGTCGAGTGGACGTTAACCCCCATTTCTCTCTCTCTCTCTCAAATTGCGACGTGATATAGGGAAAAGCACAGTCCCGCCCCTCCCCAACACACACACACACACACAAAAAACAATTCATGGGTGGAAATAACCCGTTATCGGAAGGGGATCAAAGGGTGTGTGGTGAAGACATGGGATCAGAGTGTGTGTGGTGAGGGTGTGTGGTGAGGGCAGGGGATCAGGGTTGCAAAATACGTGAGTTGCTGCTCTCCATATGGTTAGTAAGCTGAAAGAGATCACAGAATGAAAATAAAAGAGTTATATGTACTTAAAGTCAATTTAATTTAAATCTATTCGTAATTAGTTGAGACAGCTTCACTCATTAAAGTGTGGTTTCAATCTAAAAGAGTTTATTCATAACCAGAGTATTTAGGGTCTGGGTTTGGGTAACTTTTTATTGGAATAATCAGTATCCTAAAAGGACTACTTTTTAGTTGTAAACACAGTATTTAGGGTCGGGGTGATTGTAACTTTTTATTAGATTAATCGGTATCCGTAACATCACTCGGACTACTTTTTAGTCGTAACCACAGTATTTGGGGTCGGGGTGATTGTAACTTGTTATTGGGATAATCGGTATCCTGAACATCGTAATCACAGTATTTAGTGTTATGGCAACTGTTCATTTGGAAAGTCTGTATAATTAACAAGCACAAGGTATGTTTGGTAGCTCCATTGAGCTAGAGTTAAGATTAATTCATCAACACTTCGAAAGTATTTACGAAGTTATTGAAATTTATAAATACAGTATTTACGACGTAATCGTAATTCATAAATACAGTATATACAAGGGAATCGTGATTCATATATACAGTATTTACAAGGTAATCGTAATTCATAAATACAATATTAACGAGGTAATCGTAATTCATAAATACAGTATTTACGAGAAAATCGCAATTCATAAATACAGTATATACAAGGGAATCGTGATTCATATATACAGTATTTACAAGGTAATCGTGATTCATAAATACAGTATTTACAAGGTAATCGTAATTCATAAATACAATTTTTAATAGGTAATCGTAATTCATAAATACAGTATTTAATAGGTAATCGTAATTCATAAATACAGTATTTACGAGGTAATCTCAATACAGTATTAACGAGATAATCGTAATTCATACATACAATTTTTAATAGGTAATCGTAATTAATACAGTATTTACGAAGTAATCTTTATTCGTAAACACTGTATTCATAAATAACAATATCCTTTAAATTTTTATTACAATTGTCTTTCGCCACGGGTTTGTTTTTACTTTATTTGGACATTCTGACGCCTATAGTAAATATGGTTTATTCGGTGGTTGCCTCGTTGAACCATTCTGGAATTTATCTACCATGAAATTAACTAAAGTGAAGAATTTATTGCCTACGTGAACTAGAATGGAAAAATTGGTAATCCCGGGAGACTTTCCTATTTTCTGCAGACGTGTTTAATATGCACTTACCGCTCCCTCTGCATCAGCGTCGAATGCTGAAAACGACTAACAAATTTATTTCAGCAGAAGTTTGGTTGGAAGGGAGACAACGCTATTTTGTGCTGATATAGGATGCAGACCACCATTTAACGCTCATTTCACTTCAATGTTAATTCTGGCCACTTTGCCCGGACGGCACGCTTTTCACTACAGACACAGCAACAAATTTTAATAATTTGATTGGATAATATTAGATTAATAATAGAGCTTAGCCAATCAAAATTGAAGTATCTACTAAAATTGGATTTTATCCTTAGTTAAGATATCGAGAAACAGGACCATGGTCCAAAAACTGGCCCACTTTATAATATTTGTGAATTGTGTCTATAATAGACTGAATAATATAAACTGATATATGCATTATGTATAGACAATTATAACAAAACTAGACTGTACACAAAACAAAATGACAGACACAAATTGAGTGAGTGCTTAAAGTATGTAGTGATAAAATAAGTACCTCTATATGTAAGATCAGGGTCACCAAGTGAATAAGTACCATTATGTGTAAGATCAGGGACACCGAGTGAATTCAGTATGTAGTAATAAAATAAGTACCATTATGTATGGTTTATTGGTTGAGGGCGAAACATTACGTAATATATTGATACTGCGCGACGCGTTAGCCGAATGATGTTTCAATATATTACGCAATGTCTTTAGCTCGAGACCATTAAACAACTTAAAATACAGACACTATCCCGTACGTGCTTTTCAATGAAATACGTCACGCGAGTCAAATATTTCATCTAGTATAGATAATGTACGATTGGCAAGTTGCCCGTACATTATTGGAAATAATGGTACGCCAACATCAAAGGATGACGTCACATGTGTATTTTAAGTGCAAGATCAGGGTCATCGAGTGAATTCAGTATACACCTGTGCAAGGGTTATGAAAAAAATTCGAGGATCGGATCTGGTGCCCCCCCCCACCCCTCGGTGACTCGGTTAGCTTGCGTTGTAACGAAAATAATATCACCCCAATAATATTTATGGTGTGCGCCCCACCCTACTTAATATTCTACTGCACACAAACCTCTGTATTTAGATTGCTTTATTTATGTCTTTAATTCGGTTAGCTAGCTTTGTAAAGAAACTATTAATATTTATATACATTGTGGTATTAATTATCCTTATCAACGATAATTAAACTAATTACATAGATGATTATAGACTAATTAGCTCTTTATATTCACCATCTACTTCCAATTATTACGTCATTAATGGAGTTTTACTGTATATTGCGATTATATTCAGCAAACACTTTATTTAAAAGCTGCCACTGTGGGTAATAGTCTCTACTAGTTTATTGTATACTGTTTAAAAGATGCACTTAAAGAAGTCAAATTCCAACTAAATGTCATTTGGGTTCAGTGGCATAATGGCTTAATTGATAAAGTTTACATTTTATACTGTTTGAAAAGGTGCAGTTAAAGAAGTGTGATCCCCAATATAAATTAAGACAAATTCCAGCTAAATGTATACTAGATGTCACTTGGATTCAGTAGCATATTAATCGATAAAGGCTACGTTTTATTCTTCCGTTGTTGTTGTGAATTGTGTAATTTATGGGTGATACAGAAAAACATTTAGGCTGTGCGAGAAGGATTAAATCTTAATGCATCTTTTCATCATCTAACAAAACCGTACCTTGAGGATAAATTTGTGTTATAAACTGTGGACTTCATAAAGGATATTTGTATTTGTACTGCTTGTGTTATGTTTTGTGGAAGGTGTTGTCTATTGAACTTTTGACTTCGTTCATGATAATGGTATTATAGGATAGTTGTAATTGTATATTCAGATGTTGTTCTTTATAATAGATATTTGATACCGTTTTAATTCGTTCTAATAGATGTTTAACACGGTTCTAATTCGTTCTAATAGATGTTTAACAAGGTTCCAATTCATCCTAATAGATGTTTGATGCCGTTCTAATTCGTTCTATTACATGTTTGACACCGTTTCTAATAGATGTTCAACACCGTTCCAATTCGTTCTAATAGATGTTTGATGCCGTTCTAATTAGTTCTATTACATGTTTGACACCGTTCTAATAGATGTTTAACACCCTTTCAATTCTACCTAAAAGATGTTTGATGTCGTTCTAAGTAGTTCTATTACATGTTTGACACCGTTCTAATAGATGTTTAACACCGTTTCAATTCTACCTAAAAGATGTTTGATGGCGTTCTAACTAGTTCTATTACATGTTTGACACCGTTCTAATAGATGTTTAACACCGTTTCAATTCTACCTAAAAGATGTTTGATGTCGTTCTAATTAGTTCTATTACATGTTTGACACCGTTCTAATAGATGTTTAACACCGTTCCAATTCGACCTAAAAGATATTTGATGCCGTTCTAATTCGTTCTATTAGATGTTTGACACCGTTCTAATAGATGTTTAACACCGTTCCAATTCTACCTAAAAGATATTTGATGCCGTTCTAATTCGTTCTATTAGATGTTTGACACCGTTTCTAATAGATGTTTAACACCGTTCCAATTCGTTCTAATAGATATCTGATATATTTGCTGATATTAATGTGTCATAACGGACAATAATTCAATATTTTGTCTGTGTTAACTAGTATTTAATGAACACGAAAGAAACAAAATGTATTCCTGTTATGAAAGTTTAATAATTGTTTTAGTTTGGGTTGACCTATTTTCATATTGCTGTGGTAAGTACCCTTTGATATAAGACCCCCGTTTAGCGTCCGTGCTGCATCGGTTATCCTGGTCACGGTTGTAATGGAAATTGTGTTCATTCACAGCCGCCGAATCACAAAATAAAAAATTTATTAAAATAGTCAAAGGAAATATTACGCTAAAAAACAAGTTCCAAGCCTACAGCCCCTTTTAAAGAAATGAAATGAAAAGAAATGGAGTTTAACGTACTACTGTTCTGCTCCTAACCTGGGCTAATGAAGACGGGCATACGCCATACAGTGTGCTATGAGGGAAATCCCTTTTAAAGATAAACAGTCCCTAACCTATGAATGACGAAGTTGTGGTACTATCCACATATAGATGTCCACCAACTGAGTTCAAACTGAAGTCAAAATTGCCCCCCCCCCCCACTGTGGACCGAATAAGGGCGTAAAGAATGACCTTATTTTCAAATCTAAACTTGAATCCCTCGGTCACTCGGTCATCCAATGGAGCTCTTGTTATTGTACTCAATCCGAAATGTCGGAGGCCAGGGATATTTGTCCCTAGATCGTGTACTGATGTTTACCAAACAGGCAGCATCACGAACAAGAGAGAGAGAGAGAGAGAGAGAGAGACTTTAACGTCCACTCGACACAAACTAGGTCATTTCAGGACTTACATATGGTTCAATTTTATTTCAATAATTGGCTTGTGCGTAGGGGTCCTTAGCAGTGGGAGGAAACCGGAGGACCCGGAGAAAATCCACGAGGTTGGCCAAGCGACCCTACTCCTTGTCACGTACTAACGGGGAATTGAAACCACGCCAGTTGACTCAATGACAGACTTTATGATACAATGTGCACGCACTAACCATTCGGTCATCCCCCCACCCCAACGCCCACGCAATAGGTATATATTAATGAACCACACAGCGGTGATCATAGAACCATAGTTTAAAGGAGCTAAATCTCTATTGATTAGTATAGATCAAATTAGAGTTAACGCCCTTTAACTCTGATTCCTATGATTTGTAGAAAGAAATATATATTTTATACTGCTCTATGCATGAGAAATAATATAATATTTCCTTCTGTTTTAGGTGAAGGCTGCCCATCTCTCATAGACAGAGGTAAGGCAGTTTCATTAAAACTTATTAATACAGAAATACAAATGTTTTAGGGGGGGGGGGGAAATTGGGTTTAACGTCCACTCGACACAAACTAGGTCATTTCGGGACTAACACATGATTAAATTTTATTTCAATAATTCGCTTGTGCGCAGGGGTCTTTAGAGGTGGGAGGAAACCGGAGGACCCGGAGAAAACCCACGAGGTTGAACAGGCGACCCTACTCCTTGCCACGTACAACAGGGAAATCGAAATCACACCAGTTGACTCAATGGCAGACCTTATGATACAGCGCGCACGTGCTATGGCTAAAACAAATGGCGCTAAACAAAATCTGAAATGAAATGAAATGATATTGAAAGAATGGGCATTTAATTTAAACATAAGTAAAACAAATTGAAAGATATGTCCATCGCAATCCGTATTTTCGAACTGTGTTGTTTTAAATGTTGAAGGGTTGGGAGGGGATAATTAAATAAGAAATATTTATGACGATTTTAGTATTATGTAAATTTAATATCCAGGTCCAGTTTGTAGTGACTTCACAGCTTTAAACGAACTCAATATACTAGTTGATGACAGGATCGGTGATGGGTGTTACTGTGACGTCAGAGTGGTAAACAGGTCAGATAACTCTTACATGACGAGCGTGGACAGTCCAGGCGGTATTGACAGATGTGGATATAGTGTCGACGTCACCCACACGGGTCCTCCAGTAACGTTTACGTGCAATAAACTTAACCCTTTCTTTATGTATGTTAAACAAGGGGACATAATCAAGTTGCATTTTAAACGCGAGGTTTCAGAATCGTATGAGTCACCAAACTTTTGTATTCGAGTGGAGTCCCGAGCATCTAGTAAGTATGTATTCCCATCTTCCAATAACTGAAAGGGTGTGTTTTTGTTGGAAGAAACGGCTTCAATACTGTGGCGTAGTGATAGTTGGTGTCGCCAGGGTAGGACCTAACATTCGCCCCCGGAAATGAAATGAGGTTTAACATCCTACTGTTCTGCTCCGAACTGGGCTAATGAAGACGGGCATACGCCATACAGTGTGTTATGAGGGCAATTTTGCCCGGGCAGCGGCGCTACAGCCTACTCTTATATCGAATTCCAGCTGTCAAGGGATCTTTTATGTGCACACCAATGTGTACACGGACCTCGGTTTTTGGTTCCATCCGATCGACTAGACAGCTGTCCTTGTCAGGCCCTCCTTCCTGCATCACTGACAAGTGGTAACCACGCCGGAAAATTTGGATGAACTTTCTCGACCAATGCAGGGATCGAACACCCGACTTCCAGGCTAGCGAGCCAGCGTCGTACCCACTTAGCCCCCCACCCCCATGTCTTGGTCATTCCAATCAATGTTGCTAAATAACTGTGAAAATTTGGGATCTTGAAATCAAATATAATAGGACAATATTGGTGTCAGTCATTTTTACATATGTGATAGAACTGGTTAAATACATTCCAAATATAATTTTAACACAACGGAATTATTAGTGAAATGAAATTCGATCTTCTGTCTGTTACCGCTCGTTACTTCAGTCAGTTATATAGATGGACAACTTATGTTTGTCATGTTTGACGTTAAATCCCGTTTCTTCACGTGCTTGTTAGACATCTCCCGTAGCAATGATCTCTGTGTTAAAATTATATTTGGGATGTATTTAACGAGCTCTATCACATATTTTATAATGACTGACACCAATATTGTCCTTTAAGACACAGTGAACAACTTCAAAACCAGTACGCACCGGCGTGTACTCTATGCTCCCGAGCGCCTTGGCGGATGAGGCTAAACGTCAGTGAAATGTAACAAATAGGACTTTCGATATAGACTGAACTAACCAGGTGCGAGCGATTGCCATTTAGTCTGGACTGCTCGCGGATTTCGACGAACAAAGCAGTTGATATGGCCCATTTTAGGCTCCAAAGAATAGAGACGTAGCTTCATAAAATATAAAACAAAACGGTTCCAAGATCCTTGTATTCTTCTACTGCCCCTGCTGAAAAAACAACCTTTGTTCAATGCAATTAATCAAAGGTTACCCCCCCCCCCACCCCACACACACACACACACCCGCTACACCCCCACCCCAAGCTACACCTTCACCAGTGGAACCGCGTTAGTTCAGGGAGTAGGGCGCTACCTCGCCAACCAGGAGGTCCCGGGTTCGATCCCGCTGGTGGCTGAGAAAATGCCTCGGGATTTTCCAGGGTGATCTCCCCTTGTTGGTGCCGTATTTTGAGTAAATACTTGGTCACGCCCACTTATTTTATTCATTTAAATTATCCACCAACCCTCAATATTAAATTTAATGTTCACAAAAATATACCTACTTTTAATGAAAACTAATGTTTTTCAGTTCAAAATGTAAGATTTGCTATTAATTGTACGAGATTAGATTTTCTCAACACGTCAACAACACCACCATTACTACTACCAGTTCGTACACTACCACCGACAACGATACGTTTAAGTTGTACACTACAAGATTGGATTATCTACATAGGTAAGGTGTGTGTTTGTGTGTGTGGAGACGGGTCGGGTTTGGAGACGGGTCGGGTGTGGAGTGGAGACGGGTCGGGAGTGGAGACGGGTCGGGTGGGCGCGTCGAACGCAAACGGAATAGATCATGATTATGATCCATGTCTTTGGAATGAATGAATGAAATGTTGTTTTATGGCACGTCAGCTCCAACCGGGATATATTGCGCCAACCATATGGTGATTAGTTCGAGACAGGCTAAATTCGTGTCTTTGGCGTCGTCTGTGGTCAAATGACTAGTTTGTTACCTGTTAGCAGATGGGACGAACAACCGACGTCCCGTGTACACATTGGCGTGCACGTAACAGATCCCCTGGCAGTTGGAATTGAGTATAAGAGTAGGCCGTAGCGCCGCTGTTCAGACAAAATTTCCCTCATAGCACTTTGTATGGTGCATGCCCTTCTTTTTTAGACCATTCGGTGCAGAGAAGTAAGACGTTAAACCCCGTTTTATTTAATTTCAAGGTGTGAGGGAAGTGGGCTGGGGGTTGCGTCAAACGCGAGCGATATGGATCATAACGTCGCGGCTACCATCCCATGTCTATAGGATCGCCTGTAGCCACATCAATAGTTGATTGCCTGTCAGCGTTATCCTAAATATCTGATTAGGTTGCTGTCTAAACGAGAATAGTTTCTTGCTGTGGTCTTGGGTTAATTCGGGTCAGATTTACGCAATAAAGCGTGTTTTTGTTCGGTATATTCTTATTTAATTCTCAATTTTATCTCAGTTATTACATAAAACAATCAATCCGGTGCTATGGCGCAAAAACAAAACAATCCCTAATTCCAATTTACCATTGCTTCCGTCCCTAGGTTACCCAGCCTCCTTACACCGCCGTCCAGAAACAAGGCCTTGAGAAATGGGGCGTCTAAAAAAGAGTTCCCTCCCTTTGAACTTCAATGATCACCCATGCCTCTCCATTCCACAGAACGATAATGTTGTCAAAATATATACGACACACAAACCTAGTTGTTTGGTATACACGTTGTTACTAGATTTAACCCTTAATATTTCAGGTACAGCTGGGGGTATTGTATTCATCTTAATAATAATTATCATTATACTTTCCTGGTACGTATAGTATATTACTTGGGTCATCGAGATTAATATAGAGCTTAACACCATACACAATCAAAAGTACTTTGACTAAAATAATTTTAGTCCGAAATATATCTCAACTTTAAATTGCTATTACTTATTTCACCCCACTGTTATGTGTAAATAATTTCAGCATATTAAGACTATTTGAAACTATATAACGTTATTCATTAAATAGTTTTACTATATTGGACTATTTTAATTGGAATCTTTTAAACTTGTAAAACGTTAGGCCCATTCATTAAGTTTCATTGTGCTATTCTTTTATGAAATTTTTTGTTTTCCACGAATGGTTAAATAAATAATATATTTTAAAACAAATGACCTTATTATATTTGTCTTGTAATTGTTTATTGTTAGGTTTTAAAAAAAGGTTTGATATTTATTTGTTTTCTTTCAGCATCATTTTGCAGAAAGAAGATAGATATAATGAACTCGAGTTCAGACTAAACGTTGCTGAAACAAAAGTTAACACCGATATAGATCATCCGACTTACGATCATAACAACATAATACCGGACGCAACGTATGACATGGATGACGGGGAAACGGAACACACGTTCCAGTTGGGAGTTCCAGATGCAGATGACCACCCTGTTATTACTGGTTTTCCTAATTATGGTGGAGAACCCAACACGCTGAAACCAATCTAGCTTTTGAGCATGTCACTTCATCCAATTTGATTTCAGTGACATTTGCTAAGGTGCTTTTAACATTGACGTCTCAAGGATCTTAATTATTAACATAAAGAAACAATTGTTCATCAAAGTAGCTAAGTCTCTAACTCAATATCATCCAAAATCTTCAACATTGAAAACACGATTTATTTGTCAAATTAAATCAACATTCATGTTGTGATCTTACCGGAAAAAGATGGGCTTTTGATACCCAATATTTAAGACAAAATAAACATTTTACCATTGGTACACGAATCGTGTACCATAATGCGCTTCAGCCCCAGTTGTAACAAGAGACTCGAGGGACGAGGCTAGACACATTGCACCAAATCAAACGGCGTATGTAGACTGGAATAACCAGACGCTAGAAATTTGCACTCGCTTGAGACTGCTGGCTTATTTCGCCGAACATAACTGATTTGAAATTGGAGTAAAAACCGAAACCATTGAATGTAAATCAGTTTAAATACATTCATATTACAGTATTATTTGCGTTGCGACCCACTTTTGTCAATTTCTAGGTCCCAAATGTTAGCGATTTAGCTCCTTTAAAATAAATTTAACATATTTTTAAAAAGAGGATAGTTGTTATATCACAAATTATTTAAATTTGACCGTTTTATTATTAATCAATGGATGGAATTTGTTGAAGCATCACACTTTAAAAATCATTAATGTCAGAATAAAACACCAATTATATGAAATGTTCATTATTATCCAGTAAATAAACGATATCCCCCTCATATTAACGTTTTAAATATGGCTAACAAATCGTGTTCATAGATGTTTTTCATTTCAAGTCGTCTATCCGCCAGCCTAATTGACTGAATGACAAAGTGTAATGAAAACCTGCGTTAATCTGTTCCATTCCTGGTGTAATCTCGGATCCAAATCGTCAAGATTCGACACAGGTGGATCCTCCTGATGGACTTTACGCACAAGAATATCTCAGATATGCTAAATTGGATTCAAGCCATTATTTGTGGCAGGTCAAGATAATGTAGCAGCGTCACACCCCAGTGTGGTGTATCGTTGTCCATAAAGGTTGGCCTTGTGAGAAGAAGGGAGATCGTGAAAGTGGGGCACTATAACAATGTCCATGATCTCCCTTAGCTACCCTTAGCTGTACGTAAATGAACCCTTGATAGAAATAAGAGTAGGCCCTAGCGCATAATATGGCGTATATCCGTTTCCCATCATTTCCTCAATGCAATATCTGAATTACCAAACATGATTTGCAACATGCAAGGGGTCCACACTTTCCTTCCGGTGCAGGTCTGATACGTGCTGCACCGACAGCTTTCATTTCACTTTCACTCACCCGTTTGTTATTGTTTTTCGTATCCAGGATAACGATGTCTTTTGTATGCTAGTCTTATCTGTTCGTTGGGCAGCTATAACGAAATGAAATGAAATGGGGTTTAACGTCCTACCCCGACTGGGCTAATGAAAACAGGCATACGGCATGCAGTGTGCTATGAGGGAAATTGTGCCCGGGCAGCGGCACTATGACCTACTCTTATATCGAATTCAAACTTTCAAGGGATATTTTACGGACACGCCAATGTGTACACGGGACCTCGGTTTTTCGTTCCATCCGAAAGACAAGACAGCTGCCCTTGTCAGGCCCTCGGGTCTGCACCATTAACAAGAGGAAACCACTTCGGAAAATCCCGATGAACCTTCTCGGCCAATGCAGGGATCGAACACGCAACCTTTAGGCTAGCCAGCCAGTCTTACCCATTTAGCCACCTTTGGCTCCGGCGGCCATAACAAGGAATGTGTAGCAGAATAAAGCTACAGAACAAGCCTACTAGGTATACGCAAGTAGTAGCATTTGGAGGTAGACCACGTCTCGGTACCCACGAATTAGTTCGTGTATTTATGGCAATTCTCCCCTTTCTCCCTCCCCCCCCCCTATTGCCCATGTTTGTTGATAATGTGTCTAGAATGGACCAAGAGGGGTTGAATGAACATATTTTCTGCCTGCCAAGTTTCGGTAAATATTCATGATTTAGAGACGACAGGATAAGAGAATTAACACGTTGGTTACGGTGATATGTACGGCGAATATTTACATGTTTTTAGTAGGCTACTTTAAGTTTGGTGCAAAGACATGACCATTTGTTCATTGTCTGTAGTGAACAATAATCATCCCAATTTTGGGAAGCGTTGGCGCCGGGCAGAGACAGAATTAAGATTGAAGTCAATGGGATAATTAATGGTGGTCTACATCCATATTCTGAACTAGGAAATGAGGAGTTATTTCCCCCTGATGGGCGACCGTAGCAAAGAATGTGTAGTAGAACAGAGCCACAAAACAACCTAACAGGTATACACATAAAACAAACCAAATACATGTAAAATAGTTGAAGGGGAATATAATGTGCCTTGTGTTTGTAAGAAATTCTGACCAATTGCCACACTAGTTGAAGGGGAATATGGTTTGTCTATTGATATTAAGAATCCAGAAATTTTGACCGATTACAACTAAGTTGGTACAAGTTATTTTATTGGTTTCTTCAAATCATTATGAATGGACATTTTGTTATGCAATACCATGAATTTGTCGTGCATATTGCTATGCGAGTTCTACTGAAATTGGTTAATACCTGTGACAGTGTGAGATGTTTTTAGATACACATCAAGAAACTTGTGTTCTTTTAGTTCCATTGAAATTAGTCAAATTAGAATTTGGGATATTGTTCGATTTAATGTCAAGGTTCTTGTTTTAAACTACATGTTGACGCAGCCGAGATTGACGCTTGATCCGGGAAGGTAGTGCTATCCACACATAACCATAATACTTCTAAATCTTCTGCTGTTACCGAAATGATGGTAAACACTTGCTGTTTTGGTTGTTGGGGTCTACTACTAACATTATAAACTACAAGATTTCGTGTTAGACATGTACCAACATCTCCTGCCGTTTTAAAACAAATAATTATATCTTCATTATAAGTTTCATTATAACGATACCAATATATATCCCTTATTACAGCACCATTTACTCTACATGTTAGAGTTTGTGGCTGTCCTACAATACCCCCAGATTCACCACAAGATACCGTCGTCTGTGCAACACCTAGAATTAACAAAATGATAAAATTAGATGTAGCCCAACTGCATTTGATCGTTGTTATATTATGAATTGTTTTTCTTTGATATCAATTTTAGAAACAGTGTCGTGTTTAGGTCTAAGGTGCCGTATTTAGGTCTAAGTTAGAAACAGTGCCGTATTTAGGTCTAAGTTAGAAACAGTGCCGTATTTAGGTCTAAGGTGCCGTGTTTAGGTCTAAGTTAGAAACAGTGCCGTGTTTAGGTCTAAGGTGCCGTATTTAGGTCTAAGTTAGAAACAGTGCCGTATTTAGGTCTAAGTTCGAAACAGTGCCGTATTTAGGTCTAAGTTAGAAACAGTGCCGTGTTTAGATGTAATATAAACCAGCTACATCTTAGGGCTTCACAAAATGTAAGATTTATTAAAAATATGTTTTTATTTTTTGGTGTCATACAAGGTCCGATGTTGTGAGACCTTCTCGTGTAACTGGGGCTCAAGTCTAAATCAGCACTGTCCATTTAACAAAGACCTTTCTCCTACAATTCATATTTCAAACTTACATCACGCCATGATTTAAGATAAAGTAAATCTGAATTTTGACAAGGTTCCTCCTTTTATCCTATTTAACTGTGGAAAGACACCGATGGCAAAGTAGAGAGAGAGAGGGGGGGGGGTAACGTCCACTCGACACAAACTAGGTCATTTCGGGACTAACGTATGGTTTAATTGTATTTCAATAATTCGCTTGCGCGTAGGTGTCTTTAGCAGTGGGAGGAAACCAGAGGACCCGGAGAAAACCCACGAGGTTGGAAGGCGACCCTACTCCTTGTCACGTACAACCGGGGAATCGAAACTACAACAGTTGACTCAATGACAGACCGTATGATACAGCGCGCGCGTGCTAACCATTCGGCCATCTCCAACCCCCTATCCTTGTCACGTACAACCGGGGATTCGAAACCTTGCCAGTTGACTCAATGACAGGCCTTATGATAACCATTCTGCCACCCAACCCCCCAGGTTGGAGATGACAAGGGGGATTGTGTTGAAGAGTTGATAAAAATTGACCATTTTTTCACGTTACATCTCCGATTACCACCAAAAAAGATATTTTATTGTTGTGCCCACAAAATCGAAATCTACGAAAATAATTTGATGTGGTGGATCTGCACTACCCAATCCATTATACACCTAACGTCTTATATATTCCTTTCCATTACCCGGATGTACTTGACAAGGAGTAAGGTCGCCTATCCAACCGCGTTGGTTTTCTCCGTCTCCTACTAGCTCCCACTGCTAAAGACCCATACGCGCAAGCGAATTATTGAAATAAAATTGAACCATGTTAGTCCCGAAATGATCTAGCCCTGGAGGTCGCGTGACCGTGAAAGTTCATCGTGATTTTAGGGCGTGGTTTGCCTTTGTCAGTGGTTCAAGACTGAGAGCCTGACAAAAACAGCTGTCTAGTCTTTCGGAAGGTACAAAAAACTGAGCCCCCCGTGTATACATTAGCGTGTATGTACATATGTATACGTCACTAGTTTTAACAAACAAACTACTAACTAAAAAAATAAAGCAAACAGCTGCCACATTACCTTGTATATGATTAAACTGTAAAAACAGTATAATAACAATAACATTATAATACATATAGACACTGATCGCCATTTTACTGTGTTATATATATGTATATATCTACCAGGAAGTTTATATATATATATATATATATATCTACCAGGAAGTTTAACATTATTTATAGACCAGTAAGGTCAAATTATAATACGGGTTATAGATAACAAGTACTTGTGACCTTTCAACAAGATTTCTCAAGCATATAGACACTAATAAATAAAATGAACCGACAAAATAAGTTGTTGTTTATTACAATTATTTTAAAGTCCAAAACATTATCTATGTTATTAATTGACCGAGGCAGATTTAGCTCTTGCATAATGTATGTTTTAACTGGCTGTTTCAGTGAATCGCTCAACGAAAATGAAACTAGATATAGAGATTGTATATATACACAACGAGCAATATGGGGAAAGGTCTTCAGGGTTTGATCGAACCTGGTTGCTATTTGTCAGTGATGCAAGTCATTGGGGTTGACTATGGAAAGTGTCTAGTCGTTCGGATGGAACGAAACACCGGGGTTCCATTGACAGAACCTTAAAGATCCGCCGACAGTTCGAAATCGAAATAAGAGAGCGCGGTTGTACGGGAAACATTTTGGTATATGCCCGGCTTCATAAGCCCGGTTCGTGCACCAAAGAACTAAGACAAAGCCGTAAGCCGTTAAATTCCAATTCATTTCAAACAGTGCATCATTCTGAACATATACAGAGAGACACGCTACCTACGGAGAAAATATAGATATTTTCTCAGATGTTTCAAGCGATAGTTTCGTACGACAGTGCATAAGAGAAGAATAAGGGTCATTAAGTGTCTTTCACAAACACGGTACCGATAATGGAATGTATTTTATTCTGGCCGATTAGCCACCATGGTAAAATAATAAAATAATACACAATACTTAAACAAATCAAATGTATATAAAATAAAACGTCCCCCGCCCCCACCGCCCGTTCTTCCATACTTCCTCGCTTTTGAGTAACAAAGCTAACGGAATCCATCATCAACACATTAGTGTATGCAATTCACTCTTAAAGATACATTATGTAAGATTTCGATAAAAAAAAAACCTGGCCATTCTTGCTATAATAGCTCAAAAATAGATAATGTAAAATGAAAATATTCAAAATTTCATTCATATTACTTCATTCTGAGTCAAGTTATCACTGTTTGTTGTTTTGACAAGAAGTATGCATTGTGGTAACCAGGGCACTGGTATATTCGAGACTTAGCCTCGCTTTCACAGTTTTAAATTGAATTTTTAAATGGAAAGAAAGAACTAAATGTTGTTTAATGGCACGTCAGCTCCAACCGGGCTATATTGCGCCAAACATATGGTGATTATTTCGAGACGGGCTTAAATTATATCACAGAACAAATTACATGCATAAATATTTTAAATGGCGAACCGTTCTAATCTAGTTAAAATCTCGTGTATCCTATGCCATCGAGCGTTGATTATGGTCTTATCTTGTTAATAAATGTCTAATTAATAGTTTATATAACATTTCAGCCCTAAAGAAAGACCCGCAATAGGCAGATTTAGCTCTTACATAATGTATGTTTAAGGTAGCCAAGTCTCTATTCTTTAGAACCTAAAATGGGTCAAAAGCCACATTATTATGTAATACGAGGGTATATAAACGGATTTTAAACTATTTACATTCATTTTTTAATCTTTTATCGTAGTTTTAGTTTTGTTCGTCGAAATAAGTGAGCAGTCCAAAATGAAGTGCAGTTACTCGCAGCTGGTTAGTCCAATCTACATTGGTTTAACATTCCACTTACAAAACTTCAAAAAGAAGCCTTGCAGCACACTATCTCAAGTTTGGTCCAAGGTTCAACATCTGTTAAGCCCTCCTCAGTTTTCTGGAATATTCATTTGTTCGGGAATATTCATTTATACCAATCAGAGCTAGGTTTAATTATTTGTCTAAGCATATGGAATAATAATATATCATTAGAGGACCTATTTGACATCGTTCTGATGAACAGGTCCACCCACCAATCGGATATGCGACGCTTTGAAAGGTGCATTTTCATCATCAACACAAATACACACTCCATGCACAGATCAGAATCCCAACAACTATGCCAATGTTTCCAACATCTGAAATATACAATAACAGTAGTATGTACATCTATACGACACACAGTTCCATGCTACAAAGTCGAGGTGCCATTAATAGACCGTAAATGAACGAGTTATTAATTTAGTTTTCAAAGTTTCTAGACTGGATGCTATTTTAATGCTCAGGGGTAATGCAATCCGACGAATAGGCACAAACGAGCTAAATCCAAAAGAGTTTATATTTTAGAACTAGAAGAAGGTGTTTTTGTTGAAAACGAAGCTAAGCACACGTCCGGTCGAATACAATTAATTTGTAATGTCTTTAGTTCTCAACAATTTGAGCTTTTGTAATATTTTAGACATCTTATTAAATATTAGCACGGAAATCAATCTGGGGACATCGATTTGGGTTTGTACGCTACAAGTAGTACAAGGGGTGGACATTTAACCAAGAGGGAACTAAGCGGATGATTCGCTTCTAGCAAACACCAATCTAAATCAAATACGGATCCTATTTCGTTTCATTTTTGTGTAGTTTAAAATATCGTTTTACTTTTCTTCACTACAGTAAGACCCAGAAGAGTTGGATGTGAGGGATTAGCCAATCAAATGGTACGTTGAGTCGAGTTCTTATAGAAATATAGGACAGGGAAAATAGTACCAAGTCGTTCGGATGAGACAGAATGCAGAGATTCACATGTGTACACAGTGACCATTAGCGATTGGAGACCTCTTACAAGAACCCTTGACCATTAGAGATTGGAGTCCACTTACAGGAACCCTTGACCATTACCAATTGGATGACGATTATGCGGAAATGTCACTGTCCGGGCAAAACTCATATCCTGGCATTGCACATGTGACCATAGAAAAAACTAAACCCCGTGTCGATCTCAAAACAAAATGTGTTGACGATAAAAAACAAGGTTCCTATCATATTCACAAGCAAGAGGACCACTTATACATATGAAACCTTCGTACCACCCAAAAGACTATGCGCTTATATAATGAAGAAAAAACAATAAATATATTTTAACCTTTGGCTGCTGTCGACGCGAGACCCTGGTAATCGAAATTGCCACATCTTGGAAATCCCTTTGGCGGATCTGGATGCCTTGGAAATGATTCGTTGATCATCATGGCCATTCCATTCATGTTATGCAGTTCTATGTGACAATGCATAAACCACACACCTGGGTTATCGGCCTTGATTCTAACAACAACATAGCCTCCAGTTGGTACAATGATAGTATCCTTTCTTGGTGGATTCTTCAGTTCAAGACCTGGTACATTACCTCCTAACCACGAAGCGTTAGCCCACGTAGGATTATTGCAGAAACTTACATTTCTAGGAACACCACCCCCACAGTCCACATCCATATTCTCGCCTGTCATGACCCCTGTTATATTATCGTAGGAACCATAACCCATCTTCAGGACATAAAAGGAATGACCGTGCATATGGACAGGGTGCGACCAACCTTTCCCTTGACCCATGTTGGTAAAAACCAGTTGGTAAACTTTATCATGCTCAAGATCCAAAGAATACATACAGTTACATATCTTCTGTTCTCCACAGTCATCGCCACACTTGTAATTAGCTAGTTCTTGTGGTTCGGATAAAGCTGCTACTGGTGGATGGACGAAAGATCGTCCATTCACAGATCCTGGTCTAACAACATTTCCAGGGAAAGCGAAATTTAGGAATCGTTCTTGAAGCTCGTCGCTGGGTGCCGTGGGTGCTGGATCATTGTCGTATATTGAGCTCGTCAATTGATCAAATGTAAAACATTCAGTGTTTGCTACACTCGGATAATAGGAAAAGGGACAGTTAATTACATCACATGGTTCGATAACGGTGCATTGCCTTTCCACAGAGGGTCCCAGGGGTTGCTGTTTTGGTGCATTTGGGTAACGCAATATTGCTTCAGCAACGTGTACTTTACCGACTTCCAACGTCTGAGCCCGAATCCAGTAATTCAGGTTATTCTTCTGATTAGCGACAATGGTACAGTCAAATCTTTCCCCAGGATTGATAATGACCGAGTCAGCTGTAGCTTGCTTTAAATCGTATCCATCAGCAGCAATGACGGTCAAACTATGACCCTGAATTGAGACTTTAAACGGATACTCCTTTCCGGAATTAATAAACCGAAATTTGTACACTGTCCGACGGGTTATCTGAAATACATGCAAGGGGGCCTCGTTGTAAGATCCATTTTCATAACGAAACCTCCCTTTTCCGTTGATCAGCCCTGAATGAAAATTAAACATAGTAAAATTCGCACCATCCAATGATTTTGTTTGCTGTACACGCTTGCCATTGATGTATAGACCATATAACATTTTAAAATATTGTTCGTTAGAATCCCCGTCGTGATTCCAGTCGCTAATGACAGCCACGAACTCTGGCATAGACTCTGTTGTGCGCTCCCGTACGATGAAAGGCCCGTACAGGCCCATTGTCCGCTGCACCCCGATATGAGAATGATACAAGAAGGTACCTTTCGGCGCAGCTGTGAATTGATATGTAAATGATTGTCCAGGTTCAATGGGGCATTGTGTAACAAATGCAACACCATCCATCCAGGGAGTGTCGCGTTGATGAAGACCATGCCAATGTATTGAGGTTGCTTCACTTGGTAAGTTGTTTTTGACATGGACTATAACTGTCTGACCTTCATAAACTTCTATTGAGGGTCCTGGTAAGGTACCATTGGCCACAATAACTAGCTTGGAATCAACCCAACCGTCGGCAGTGATGATATCGCGTGTGTCTGTGATGGGATTAACATTCCTCGTATCGTTAAAGTTGTAAAGTTGGCCTCGATATGGATGAACAGATATCTGACCGTTCATCATTGTCAACTTGAAATCAACGGTCAACCAGAACTCACAAACCTTGGCATCCCTATCACACGTGGCTCCATCAGATCCAGTTAATAAAATTACAAGAAGACAGAAAACAATGTCATCCATGCTGAAAAAAAAACCCGAAGAAAAACACTGTAAATATCGACACATATAGCCCCGCAGCCTAGCCCCGAGTTCACAAAGTATTCTCAGACTTTAAGAATTTACTCAAAATATTTCGCCTTATTTTAACTAACATATAGCCCCTTATAAGTTTGTTGTTGTTTTAATGCATCAAATACATTAATACAAAGTTTTGAGTTTCTGGATAGAAGATATTTCTCATAAACAGTGAATGAAAGTTGAGTAAATTCTTAAAGTAAGTCTGAGAATGCTTTGTGAACTCGGGGCCAGAACTACTAGCGTGACGTTTCGCTACATGCCCCCCCCCCTCACCTACATGGTTCACTCCCATCTACTACAATCTTCGACCAGTATAAAATAGATGAGCATATTTTAAACCAATTCCGATTAGTTCCAAGCATAATGTTTGCACAATTTAATATTTCTAGATGCTTTGTTTCAGTTTAAATATTTGTTAGAACTTTACCCTATCAGAAACAAAGGTTTATAGCTATTATAGTCGAAATGTGGTTTTATGGCACGTCAGCTCCAACCGGGCTATATTGCGCCAAACATATGGCGAAAAGTATGGGACAAACTAAATAATATCACAAGGAATTCATGTACACAAATAAAAGCAAATATCACAGTATATTAAATAATTAAAAATAAAAATTAAATCTTCATGTACACAAATATTTAAAAATGAAAAATAAGATGATATATATTTACAATTAAAATTGTTTATAAAAATTTGTCTCTTTTAAAAAGTCTAGTACTTTCAAATATAGACCAAGTTGGGCAAATAAATGATTTAACGATTGGCAACGGTAATAATTTGTTCTGATCTTACTGTTTATTGAGAACCTATATAGCACTTCCCTGTCTGACGTTCAATTCGATTCAGTTTATTGAATAAACTATTGTTTAAACTAAATACTGTTAACAATGTTTGTGGACATTTGCCATAAAGAGACTCCTTGTACCGTTAATGGATTTCCAAACTTCCTTGTGTACCCCAGGGGTGGGGTGGAGGATCCAAACCCCTTCCTGCTCAGCTACATAAAAACAATTGTAAAACAACACTTTTTATGAGAAACGGTCGCGTGCTTTATCATCAGATGGTTGGATGGGATGGGCAATCAGAGTGCGAAATAACGATATATGTGATATTACCATTAATGCTTTGTATTAATGAAATTGAATTACAATGTTATCGTATTAATTCATTATAAAAATTGATATCAAACGGGGTGTTGGATTTCTCTCTTTAAAAATTTCAATGTGTATGTATGCCTACGTAATTTAGAGACGGTGATGGCATCATGCATTGTCAAATTTCCTTAACAGGAGGCTGGCGAACACCCTTCGGCAAACATTCCTGGATCCGCCCCTGTATGTCCGTTATATCAACTTCATAATTGTTAGATAACTAGAGCATTTACTTTAAAAGTATCACAATTTTTATCTGGACCTAAATCGAGTTTGCGCAAACCATTACTTTAAAATTATCACGATTTTTATCTGGACCTAAATCGAGTTTGCGCAAACCTTTTGCTTGGAACTATGTGAATCCGTGTTCGTCGGATATTTAGCTTTCCAAACAAGTATAGTTTGTTTAGTTGCGAGATGCAAGATTCGAAATTGTTTTTTCTAAGTCCGCTAGAAATTCTGGTTGCAGGCCTAATAATGACGACTGCTTTTCTAAAGGTTGATTACTGCATCTGCCATAATTACCATTGATAACGTATATTAACCTTATGCTGTATTCGTTACCTCTTGGAAATATGATGTTCCCACTAGGAAAATCAACATGGCTGTCATTATCCCTTCAAGGATTATTAAAACTGCAAATCATTTGTAAAATCAGTCAAAAGAAATGAAATGAAATGGGGTTTAACGTCCTACTGTTCTGCTCCTAAACTGGGCTTATGAAGACGGGCATACGCCATACAGTGTGCTATGAGGGACATTTTGCCCGGGCTACGGCCTACTCTTATATCGAATTCCAACTGCCAAGGGATCTTTTACGTGCACGCCAATATGCACACGGGACCTCGGTTTTTTGTCCCATCCGAACGACTAGACAGCTGTCCTTGTTAGGCCCTCCGTGCTGCATCACTGACAAGGTGAAACCACGCCGGAAAATCTGGATGAACTTTCTTGGCCAATGCAGGGATCGAACATCCGACCTCCAGGCTACCGAGCCAGCGTCTTACCCAATTAGCCACGTGATCCCAATCAGTCCAAAGACGTTTCAGTTCTGTTCAGAATTTACAAAGGTATGATGAATTGAAAATTACGAACGCTATTTACCATTTCGTTAGTCGGTTTCCCATAAAACCGAGGTGTAACGAATACAGCATTAATCTCCACTGTCGATTGATGACGTATATTAATTTTAGTATACACATGTCGAAATACGACAACAAAAGAATAAATAAAAATCAAGGACTATGAATTAAGAACTAAGAACACTGAATAAAGAGCTGTTTGGTTTTCCATAGCTAAAAGGTCATTATGACATATGAACTATAATATATCTCTGCAGTGTGAAAGAGAGAGGGAGGGTCAACGTCCACTCGACACAAACTAGATCCTTTCGGGACTAACACCATGGTTCAATTTTATTTCAATAATTCGCTGGCCGTGGGAGGAAACTGGAGGACCCACAGAAACCCACGAGGTTGGACAGACGACCTACTCCTTGTCACGTACAAGCGGGGTATCGAAACTACGCCCCTTGACTCAATGACAGACCTTGTGATCTAATACGCACGCGGTAACCCATTCGTCCAGCCCCTATCCACCCTACATCTCTGCAGAGAGGCAACTTTGCATTTTAGTTATCACACGTACAGCTAGCCTTTTTTGTGTCATTGCTTTTGGTTTTGAAAGTATTTTTTCTTGGAGTGTTTAGTATGTCAAAATATACATGGATGGTTTTTAAATTCTCATCTTTTAATCATCCTTTATTTATTCCTTGGAGGACAAAACAAATTTCATCGAACGAACGTAAACATAGATTTGTTTTTCAATGGCTTAGAAATCTAATTTTTGACATTATAATTTTGTTGATCTTAATTTTAGAGACAAGGATTAAAGATTTCTTACCTTATATGTAACACAGACAGGCAGCTTATTCACCGCTGTGGTCCCAAAGATTTGTGATTAATTGTATTTATATACAACACAATTTATATAAAATAAACAGAGTATACCATTGTATTTCTTACAGCTCTTGTCATTTCGTTTCGCCTCAGTCGTAATTCTCTGAGAACGGAGTATAACCGGATGTTTAATTGTGTATGAAAATACAATTAATGTCTATCTAAACTTTTATTATCTTTGTAAAAATGACAACTGATGGGGTGGGTCTGTTCTATATTCTTCTTTTACTTTTAAACATCAAAACTTATTAACGTCCACTCGACACAAACTAGGTCATTTCGTGACTAACATATGGTTCAATTTTATTTCAACAATTTGCTTGCGCGTCTAGGGGTCTTAAGCAGTGGGAGGAAACCGGAGGACCCGGAGAAAACCCACGACGTTGGACAAGCGACCCTACTCCTTGCCCCGTACAACCGGGGAATCGAAACCACGCCAGTTAAATCAATGACAGACCTTATGATACAGCGCGCACGTGCTAACCATTCGGCCATACACCCCCACCCCCAAATCAGAAGAGAATGTTTAAAAAACTAATTACGATCACCACAATATACCTGGTTTTATGAAGCTCTACCAATTCATATATAACAAATGAATGAATGAAATATGGTTTTATGGCACATCAGCTCCAACCGGGCTATATTGGGCCAAACATAGGTTGAATTATTCGAGACAGAATATAAGAAATCACAAAAGTATATCTATAATCGATAAATAAAAACAAATAATCGATAAATAAAAACAAATATCACAGATAATGTACATATATAACAAAGTAAAACTACTCAGAAATCTTCCAAGTCTCAGCAATGGTGAAAAGGTCTATAAAGTGTCTAGTAAAATGTGGCTCGGTGAATAAGACACAGGCGGGTTGACCAAGGTGTCCCGAGTTCGATCCCTGTGTTTCAGGATTTTACATCCTGGTTGTGAAATCTGCATCGGGTGCGAGTCATTTCCGCTTGCTCAGTTATCATATATGATACTTGTCATCAAACACCCGGTTTATATACTATATGATTACGTCGTTTCTCCGAGAAATATGAATAACCCGAAACCACTAGAGATGCAAGTTGTACAATCATATGCCCTAATTTTAATTGGGGACAAAAACAGTCGTCAGTGCAAAGTTGAGCTAGATAAATATATATATTATCCTAACTAGAAGGGCGTCATGACATACAAACTACATGTATATGGAAGGGCATCTCTGCCAATATTAAATGATTATAATGTAAAAAGTACAATGTACAAAGTCTTAATACCGGTAATGATAAATTCAAGATACCTCGAAGGGCAAAGTTAAATGTAAAACGTCAAAATCAATGTGTCAAATGTTTAATGGTAAAATGCTGTTTTTGACGTGTCGACATTTTACATTTCCTTCATTACATTTTACATTACATTTTACATTTTACATTTGAGCTCTGCTTCATCTCATCAATCTCCATCAGTTAGAATCAAAGTTATCCCAAAGCATTGACCAATGAAATTGCTTAGCTCTTAGTTTCAGCGGGAAATTTTAATCATTGAACTCAGTCACGACATTCACCTAATGAACATCTACACCAAGTTTAAACATTCTAGCTCAATTAAAAGCCGAGTTGTGTTTCAAAGTCTTGAGCAATCAAATGGCTTATCGCTTCTTAGGCAGAAAATGCCCATTATCGAACATAGTCAAGGTATTGATGTAATGAAACTATACACCACGTTTCATCACCCTCTTGATTAGAACTAACAGTTATTGTGTCCCAAAGCATCAAGCAATCAAATTGCTTATCTCTGCTAACTCTAAGCAGAAAATGATCATTTTCGAACTCCATCAAGGCATTCACCTAAACCAAGTTTGAACATTCTAGCTCAATTAGGAGAGTTATTGTGTTCAAAAATGAAATGAAATGTGGCTTTATGGCACGTCAGCACCCACCGGGCTATATTGCGCCAAACATATGGTGATTCATCTGAGACAAGTTAAATAAATAAAAACAATATCACAGTAAATAAAATTAAAAATGAAATAAACCTTTTATGCATATATATATTTAAAATAAATGAAATGAAATCGTGGTTTTATGGCACGTCAGCTCCAACCGGGCTATATTGCGCCAAACATACGGTGAATATTACAAGACAGGCTAAATTATATCACAGAAAAACATGATATGCATAAATAAAAACAATATCACAGTTAGTAAAATTAAAAATAAAATACAACTTTTATGCATATAAATATTAAATACAAAAATGAAATGATATATATATACAATTAAAATTTATGATAAAATCCTGTCTCTTTTAAAAAGTCTCATGCTTTACCATATAAACCCGGTTGGGCAAACATGTTATGTAATGACTGACAACGGTAAAAATTCGATCTAATATTCTTGAAATGCTTGCACTCAATCAAAATGTGCTTAACTGTCAAAGGAACATGACAGTGTTCACATTCTGGTTGAGGCTCTCGCTTTAAAATGTAAATATGAGTTAAAAATTATGACCAATGCGAGAGCGACACAAAACAACTTCATCCCTCATGTTGGTTCTATAGGAGCTTGGCCAGTCTCCTAAGAGAGGCTTAATGTGATGAAGTTTATTTGTGTCTGCAAGATCCCAAGACCGTTGCCAGCGGTTATATATAAAAAAATTAATGGACGATCTGAAATCGATATTTAAAATACAAAAATGAAATGATAAATATACAATTAAAATTTATTATAAAAACATGTCTCTTTTAAAAACTCTAGTATGTTACAATATAAATCCGGTTAGGAAAACAGATGACGTAGAGACTGGCAGTGTAATATTTTGATCTTATGTTCTTGAGATGATTGCACTCAATCAAGATGTGCTTCACTGTCAAAGGAACATGACAGTGTTTGTGTTCAAAAATGGGTGACGGACAGACCCAATTTACTATTCCCCTGCTTTCATGGAAGGCGGGGACAAATATTAATATATACAAAGATACACTATAACAATATCAACAATACCACAAAATATTTCCGTTGTATCGTATGATCTAGCAAAGTAAATGTACTGTACTTGGCACGTCACAGCTCGTGACTGCTATCAGGATATAACACTTAAAATATTGAAATAGTTCGTCATTTGATATAAATTTGTGGAGACAGACGAGAGGGATCGGGTTTAACGTCCACTCAACACAAACTAGGACTAACATATGGTTTAATTTTATTTCAATAATTCGCTTGCGCGTAGGGATCTTTAGCAGTGAGAGAATATTGGAGGCGTGTGAGAGAGAGATGGGGGTTTCACGTCTACTCGAGACAAACTAGGTCATTTCAGGAATAAATGAAATGTGGTTTTATGGCAAGTCAGCACCAACCGGGCTTTTTTGCGCCAAAAATATGATGAGTTGTACGAGACAAACTAAATAATAATCACAATAGTAATCTATATATACATAAATAAAAACAAATACCAGATATATATATATATATATATATATAAAATACAACAAATGAAAATTACAAATATATAATTAAAATTTTGTGTAAAAATTTGTCTCTTTTAAAAAGTCTAGTAATCTACAATATAGACCCGGTTGGGCAAATAATTGATATTAGAACTGGCAACCGTAATCATTAGATCTAATATCCTTAAGATGCTTGCACTCAATCAAAATGTGCTTAACTGTCAAAGGAACATGACAGTGTTCACATTCTGGTTGAGGCTCTCGCTTTAAGATGAAAATATGAGTTAAAAAAGTATGACCTATGCGAGAACGACACAAGGCAACTTCATCCCTCCTGTTGGTTCTATAGGAGCTTAGCCAGTCTCCTAAGAGAGGCTTAATGTGATGAAGTTTGTTTGTACTTGCAAGATCCCAAGACCGTTGCCAGCGGCCATAAATGAAATGATTAATATAAGTTTTAAAATCTTTATATGGTATTAAAATATTTGATAGGGGGTCATTTCAGGACTAACATGGTTTAATTTTATTTCAATAATTCGCTTGCGCGGAGAAAACCCACGAGGTTGGACAGGCGACCGTACTCCCGGTCACGTACAACCGGGGATTCGAAACCACGCCAGTTGACTCAATGACAGGCAGGGGCGGATTGGGGCCGGGAACTGGCCCGGGCTCCCGGATGGGGGGGGGCGGGTTTTTCTCTCCCGGAAAATATTTAAAAAATGAACCCCAAATATGCGATTTGGAGGCATATCTGATTATAATCTCTGTCAAATAATATATCTCATAAATTGATTAATTTAGGCCAAAACCCCGACCTGCAAGTAATTTACAACCATCAACCTGTGAAATTATCATATCGTCATATTATTAATTAACGTATTATCATTGTATCGTCAAGAGAATTTAACTGGTTACAAAATGGGACTTGTGGAGAACATTTTGACCACACCCAGCACACCCGGCCCAGAAAGCCTATTATACCAGCCCATTCCAGACTCCAGGGATGGCATGACTGCCCTTTAAAGCCACCGGTCACATTACTCCATGACCGGTCCAATAACCTCCCCCCCTCCGCCATATAATGTTCAGCAGAAAATTTTTTTTTTAGACGAATTGGACAAAAAAAATTTTTTTTTTTTTTTCCGACCGGCCCTAACCATTCGACCATCCACCCCCCCAGGCGTAAGAGAAGATCCTGGCCAAAAATGTAGAATAGAAGTTTATTACAAATATGTATTTAAATATATTGTTTAGTTTTACATATAAAGACGCGATTACAGTGATATTTTTCATTATTGACTTTACTTAACCACAGTTTATATTCATGTATTCCTCTCTGTGCTTACTGTTTCACACAAACGAGGGGATCACGTAGCTAAGTGGGTAAGACGCTAGCTCGCTAGCCTGGAGGTCGGGTGTTCGATCCCTGCATTGGCCGAGAAAGTTCATCCAGATTTTCCGGCGTGGTTCTCCCTTGTCAGTGATGCAGGACGGAGGGGCTGACAAGGAAAGCTGTCTAGTCGTTCGGATGGGACAAAAAATCGAGGTCCCGTGTACACATTGGCGTGCACGTAAAAGATCCCTTGGCAGTTGGAATTCGATATAAGAGTAGGCCCTAGTGCCGCTGTCCGGGCCAAATTTCCCTCATAGCACACTGTATGGCGTATGCCCGTCTTCATTAGCCCAGGTTAGGAGCATAACAGTAGGACGTTAAACTCCATTTCATTTCATTTCTCTGTGCTTACTGTTTCACACAAACGAATTGGTTCACTGTGTTCTAGCCAGAATTCTGCCCGTGCTTTAAGAGAAAGGAGAAATCTAAGTGGGACATTTGTGATATCAAATTCGTTGTGCAATGATGTCATTTAACAGTCCTGGACGTGTGCATGAATGTCAGTGCGATTGTGGATCTGGCATGAGCCCTGAAGCACACTGTAAGCATATAAATGCCCTTTTAAATTTTCAGCAAGTAGTGTGATTTTGACAGATGGAACATGTACACAAAAATTATAAACTTTCCATAAGGCAGAGCGACACCAAGGTTCACCCATTTATGCCAGCAAACATACATCTTTACAGGTCGGGTGTTAAATTAATCGTAGCCACTGGGAGAATACAGTCGGCAGTGACGGAAAAGGTAGACGGTAAGTACGGTAGTTTTTATTTTATGGCACGAGACAAAGAAAAGTAGTTTGGATGTTTAATAATAAATAAATATAAGACCCTAATGGGATTTGTAATTGTTTTGTATGTGTTGTTTTTCAAGGCATGGACTGTTACCTCGTATATGTAGCACGGAAACACCCCAGATCAAAAGTGGCAAAGATCACAGGAAGACCAAATGAGACATGGGCGGATATTGGTGTGAGTTTTTATTTTAGCAAATTTGTATCTATTGTTTGTATTATACCATAGTTATAACCGAACTATCCGCAATGCTATGTTGACGACTAGACTTTCCTTTTCTCAATCTGACTAAACAAATAGCCAACCGTATAGTTCAAATGTTTTACATGGTTATATATACTCTCTCTCTCTCAGTGAATCAGTATATATATATATATATATATATATATATATATATATATACACGCTAATTTCAGTGCAATGCCTTTATCCACTGGCCTGTTCTAAAGACCTGTCGTATGTCCCGGAAAGGTATGTATTTTCTTTTTTAGATATTGACACCCGTTGTGAAACTGCTAAGAACACACTTTCTTTGCCAACCCTGTGTAGCGAGTGAATCACACATTATAAACGCTACTAAATATCTATTTTGTTTTCCAGTGTTAAACCAAAAGAAGTCCTGAGTCGACAAAGGTACGTGACTATTTAAAATAGTATAACTACTATTATAAGAAATGTAATTGCTCAAAATGAAGATAGGCTGTAAGGCGTATATAAAATGCAATACAACATAATTGAATTAAATATTGTCATATACTATTGTCCTTTCATCATCAGGTTTCAGATAATGTGGCCAACCCGAAGGGGGGGGGGAGACAGGTAAACACTTTGTTAATCTATTTGATCCATCTACCTAAAAAAAAACAATTATTGAATGACAATGCAAGAATATTCAACAAAGATACGGGACAGTTACTTGTCCGTAGGCATATTTAAGCATATTAGGAGAGGTGCAAAATGAGAGAGAGAAATGGGTTTAACGTCCACTCGACACAAACTAGGTTATTTCGGGACTAACATATGGTTTAATTTTATTTACATAATTCGCTTGCGCGTAGGGGTCTTTAGCAGTGGGGGGAAACCGGGGGACAGGCGACCCTACTCCTTGTCACGTACAACCGGGGATTCGAAACCATGCCAGTTGACTCAATGACAGACTTTATGATACAGCGCGCGCACGCTAACCATTCAGCCATCCACCCCCCCGCAAAATGATCTGAATTTTAATAAACTAGTACAGGGGATATAATGAAAGACGGCCCAAATTCAGAGGTAAGCAACTTATTCTAAATCCAAGGCTTAATATACTAATGCCCAAAAGAAAGTATACACTGTGCATTTCGTGCTGCATCAACCAAAGTCGTTTTCCATCGTACAATGTCAATCTGTTTCGCTTTTTTTATTTTGCTTAGAAATATTGAGTTTGGACGCAAGAGATAAACCCAGTAAAGTTTTTTCAAATGTTTTTAATCAAAATAAAACCTAGTCATATTTTTAGTGTGTATACTTTCTTTTGGACATTAGTATAGAATGAAATCTTGCATTAAACGAATCAGTTAATATTGTGCAAAGCTCTGTAAATATGTTCTTGGTTTATTTGTTTTATGTGTCTGTATATTCAGATAGACGAACCCTCTTTTACAAATATGGTAACACCCGAAAAAGAAAACTTGGTAAGAGTTCTATTATTACACATTTCCCGTAATATTTAATATGCACACTCATATGCCACCATTTTTCCGTGACAACACCATGTCTTTCATATACCAACAATCCAGGTGGACTATAGTTGTACCTACAAAAAATATTATTCGGTGATAATGACAGAATATTCAACCAATACAGTTTTGTGTTCGGAGGCATATTTGACCCTTAATGATTATGAGAGCTGAAAACATATTGACCGAATTTATCATTGGATATAGCCCGAAAGTTGTACTTCTGCCCGGGAAATCTCCAATTACTGACCGGAGGGGTCTCCGACATGTGTTGTTCTTTCAACTGAATACTTAAGGGGAAAAAAGATGCAACTTTTGATAAATTTCTTTCAGTTTCCACCCGTGAGGAACAATACAGATAAAGACGGCCAAAATGCACAGGTAAGCAACTAAGTTCAGAGGTAATTCCGCGACCTAATTGACAGAAATCTTGTATTTAACGAATCACAAGATAAAACGCCGTTACGATAGCGTCTATATTTTGGCCATTATATATTATTGTTTTTATTAATATTCCTCCATTTTAATTAATTTTAAGAATCAATCTTTCCTCCAAAAATGTTGTAGGCCAAATACTTGTAATTTAAATATGTTCTTGAATAATACAGGTATACAGAAATATAATATGGATATGAAATGGATATCAGAATTATGAATATCTTACCTAACTATCGTCTGAGAAACTCCGATTAATATTTCGTATATTCTGTTTCAGACATTGACAACCGTGAGCACGCGGAAATGTTATTCAATACACGCTGTGCCCGAATTGGGTCAAAACTAATTTCAAATTGACAGCACCCCGATTTCGAAATCCCCTAATATATTTGGCGATACTGGCTGACACTCCATGGTCAAAAAATCATCTGGGTTAATAAATCTGTTTCCTAATGTTGGCCTCGAAAACCGTATAAACAAATTGATTGTATGGGCAAACCTTAAACTAACACCACCGTGTAAACTCGGTACCTATATTCTAGGTATAGCCTGAGTGTTTTGACCGACAAATTGTCGCTTGGAGAAAATGGCAAGGATTACAATTTATCGTTACTAAGACAACATCTTCTTTTTTATTTTTCAGTGGCACCAGAACTGCAACTGCGTGAATGAATTTATTCCGTTAGGGATATAACATTACACTTAATATTGCCTCCGAATATTTTAAATGACGTGAAATTGTAGTCTAATATATGTTACCTCAAAACTATGGCATGTCTATTTGCAATCGATTGCAGCTCTAGATATACCCCATCTGAATATGTTTCGTTTATCCGTGGGTTCAAAGAAAGTAGGAAAGTTCACACAGCTAATAATATTTTGTTTCACTGTTATATTAATTGTATGCATTTTTTTCTTTGCAAATTCATTTAAATGTCGATGACTGGGTCGGTGTCAATTTTTTGAAAGACTTCGTCGTGGGTCAAGTATTGAAAGTTGAACTTGGCAATTTCACTGTTAAATTTCTATCTAAAACAAGACAGGACGGATCGTGTAGATGGCCTGTTTGCGACGACATTAAAACAATCGAAGACACATACGTACTAGGAAGGGCGACCGTAAGCATCCTGAAGAGTTCGTTCAGAGTAGAAAATGTTGCGGAGTTAGAAGGAAAGAACGAAAATTATGTTAAAAACTTTTGTTAATTGTTAAAAAGTGAGAGAAAAAAAGACTTGTGTAAATAGATTTATAAAAATATGAATAAGATCACTCAACTGACCAAAATAAGATCACCACTATCATATAAATTCTAATAATTGAAAAATTTACGCAATATCACGTGTTTGCCCAATATAACCTACATGACCCGGGCGACGAAAGACCTTCTATATACGTTAAAGGCTCGCGTTCATTGATTTGGACATACGAGTAAAAAATATACAGAGAAGACGTAGCAATAATAAAATGAAGAAGGCAATAGTTTGTGTAGGTGATTTGTTTTGGTTGAAAATTTCAGGTTGGGGTAAGCCACCTTTTTGCATCTTTTGTTTTAGAGTAAAGCTTAGGCTATATTTAGTAGACGCAGTTCATATAATTATTTACAGGCATACCTGATCAGACATTTTGCAATCTTCAATAATTTGGTATACTGTTGGGGAAAAAGAGCAATCAGTGAAGCGTGTGTAGAGAATAAGACCGGATGTGTACAGCTGGCTGACAAGAAACAAACTGGAAGTGAGAGCGGCTAACCTTTCCAGGTCATAAGCCTCCATGTCCGCCATATTTATTTCACAAATTGGAAACAAGAATGGCGGCTTGGGGGCGTTAACTTTTTATTATTTATTTATTTTTTGTAACCGGAGTTCAGCTTTAAACAATACACCTGTGTCATTCGTTTTTAACCCATCGGTTAATTAACACACTCAGTACAGAAAACGCACCGTCCCAGAGTTGTTCACCCCTAGCGATAATTAACACACCCTTGTTAATTAACACGCCTTATCTAGAGATTTTAAGCCATAATGAGGAGTTATAATCCAGATACGTAGGAATTGACCTTTTGGGTTAGATTTATATACGGCAAACGTACAGATTAACCCTTACCTATTTCTCAGTGATGCCCGCAGTGTGCCATGACTATTTAGAAATTTTACCAGAGGATATATTCCTGAATCAAATAGAACTGGATGACAAAAAAAGGAATTTCCTGCAAAGACATTATATCATGCTTGCCATATTATCAGTGCCATATTTTAATGTGGGTGAAAATAAAATTCTTTCTCTCAACACTCCCACAATTATTATTACCAAGTACAGGCCCAATTATTGTGTACCCAACGCAGATTGCGCTATTTGTTTTTTCTTGCTCTAAAGACTTCAAAATTATTAAAATTGAAAGAGATATGTCTATTTCAACAATGAGGGGGTTGGATGGCCGAATGGTTAGCACGTGCGCGCTGTTTCATAAGGTCTGTCATTGAGTCAACTGGCGTGGTTTCGAATCCCCGGTTGTACGTGACTAGGAGTAGGGTCGCTTGTCCAATCTCGTGGGTTTTCTCCGGGTCCTCCCACTGCTAAAGACCCCTACGCGCAAGCGAATTATTGAAATAAAATAAAACCATATGTTAGTCCCGAAATGACCTAGTTTGTGTGGAGTGGACGTTAAACCTCACCTCTCTTTTGTGTTAACCCCAATATGAGATTGGGATGCCCGATATGTTACGGGAAAAGTTTTATGTGAAATTCCTATAAGGTGGGATTGGTTTAACCCCGGGATTTACGGGATGTCCCGATATGTTATGGGAGATATTTTAGTTGTGTTAACCCCAATAATATGAGATTGGGATGCCCGATGTTACGGGAGAAGTTTTATGTGAAATTCCTATAAGGCGGAATTGGTTTAACCCCAGCTAGGAGGGTCGTGCTCGGAATTAAGAGCGAATGTGATGTTTTGTGTTTTGTTTAATAATTATCGAGATAAAACCACTGTTAATTTTGATAGGCTCCTTCCAAAATATCTTACTTAAGATTGGTGAAATGTGTTCAGATCATTCATTATGAGTTTTCCAGAGGTAAAGCAATATGACCTACTTTCAATTTGGTTGCTTTATGTCAATTCTAATGTAAATATTTTAAAATAGAAAGTTTCACTTGCTATTTGAATAACAGTTAATCGAGTTCACTCCACGATATAATATGCAGATGATCAAACTTGGGCACGAATGGCAGTTATAATATTTTTCATGGCACGACATGTCATTGAGCACCGTTCGGCCAGGCGGTATGGAAAGGAAAAAGACTAACCGACAAAAAATAATAACGGCCAATATAAAGATGGTGACGGCTAAAGCCACAAGCGGCAGTAAGCTTGAAAATGGAGAAATTACCCATTCACCATACCTTGACAAACATGATGGAGAATATATGCATACATGGTGGATAAGATATCCATCTATCGATAATTAATGGAGAATATTTCCAACAAGGATTTATCCGTTCCTGCTAATGCTAGGAGTTCTCACATTTGGATTCCCTAATTTGGATCGCGCGTGATTATGTTTGCGTGTTTCATTATCAATCGTTTTAACAAGACGTGTCTATTTTATTGCCGTTACAAAGGATCTTCACTCTGGCGAGACTAGTGTCACAAAGTAGGCTAGTGTTCAGGCATACCGAAATTTAATTAGTTTGTACAATAGATCAATCATGTCGATTGAACCTAAATCGAAAATGTTTATTAAAAATATATACATGTCGTTTGTCAACCTTTCAATAATATAAAAAGAAACACCGCTTTGAAGAAGAATAATAAAGGCCATTTTGACACTTTATTCCAGGTTTCAATAAACGACTTTTTATTGTTGGATTTTTCTAAAGATTTGTTTACATGTATTAATAGCACGAGTCTCTCAACGTAAAGAAAATTAAATTGGATTTAATGTCCAACATTTCGGCACCAGGTTAACTAAAAATATAAAGCAGTATATAAATTAGTTCAGCTCTGAACGCAGGTCTCATTACACTCAGCCTGTACGTTCAGGGACTCTTCTATTGAATTCTTGTCGAAACTAAAATCGGCCCCAGTCAATTTTACTGGGAAACTTTTTACTGCTAAACGGTTGCGTGTCAGTCCCTGAACAATGCAACTGGAAATATTAGCGAGAAAATAAGACCTTGCTTACCTCGCTAGAACCATTATGAGCGACACAACACGCTGTTGAAAAATACGTACCACTCTTCTTACGGCCTTCACTGACTTCATTGAAAGGGTAACGCACGAATTTAAGAACTCTGCCATATAAGATGAAACAAAATTTAGGTAAGCCTGGGAGAAAAAAATTGAAATCTTTGTAAATTTGAGAATATTCAGTCATTTATTGCTTTGCCTAGCCTAATTACAATAATTTAAATTCAACTTGACAAAGATTTCAATTTTTTTCTCCCAGTCTTACCTAAATTTCAAGATTCTTTCTCCGTCTGCACTGGACTCCTCGTTCCCCTCGCGCGTGCCCCGAACTCCCGCGCATGCGTATTGGGTTAATTAAATGAATTCTCTGGAATTGTTTCATATTTTTACAGATCTCGACCCTTATTGTCCATCAATACACAGTCAGTCCATCAAAATTCTAATTTATTGAATGAAATTCTCCCATGTGCACATAATTATCACAGATAACGCGTAGAAATCTTCCCTTCAAATTACGAGAGTAATTTTGTCCCGACAACTCTCTGTGGCCTACTCTTAACCATGGATCATTCATGTGCTGCCAATGGCAATGGACATCAGTTTTTCGACCCGTCCAAATGACATAAGACTTTTCAATACCACCTCCCGACCCTTTACTAAGAAATTACATCTAATATGTTTGTACAGTTTCATTCCATATGTTACCTTATCGAATACCTTAAATAAACCGGCTTAGAGTCCTGTCAATGGGAGCTTATCGAATACCCAAAATAAACCGGCTTAGAGTCTGTAAATGGAAGCTTATCGAATACCTTAAATAAACCGGCTTAGAGTCATGTAAATTGGAGCTTATCGAATACCCTAAATAAACCGGCTTAGAGTCATATAAAAGGAAGCTTATTGTATACCCTAAATAAACCGGCTTAGAGTCATGTAAACGGGAGCTTATCGAATACATGTACCTTAAACAAAACAGTGTACTAAACTTTTAAGTTCACGAGTAGTATAGGTCTACGTGTGACGTCATCATATTGCGCCGATAAAAAAAGTGCGTTGATTACACTGGACATAGTACTACACACAACCCGGACAGAATCGGTGCATTTTACTCATTCTACGCCTTCGCGTACTATTTTATGGACCCATTTACACTAATTGTAAATATTTTGTATCCAGATATATATTATACTTTAAATATTTGTTCCTAATAATTTAAAAATATGCTTTAGAATTTTATTTGCAGAAGAAAAAAAGTTAGTATTGCGAGAGCTAATTAACTCGCCCCGATGTCCTTCCATTTTACCGCCACTAAGCGAATGTCTATTGCTAGAACGCATAGAACACTAAAACTTTAAATACCTAGCATTGCGTTAGCAACCATGGGTTTCTTCTTGTACTACTAGCAGGATGCCCGCCTTTGCATGGGGCACAAATTCGCCTGCTGGCCAATGAAGACCTAGATTCGCCTCGGGGCCAAAATTCGATGGCCTAAAACTTTCACTTGGTCATGCGGGTTAATTTGATACCACATAAGTGGGGTAGGTGGCCGCGACGAAGCATACACACAGACATCGTTGATTTTATTTACACAGATTACTAGCGGGATACCCGACTTCGCCAGGGCCACGACATGTCCCTTATAGTACACTATGCCATATACCACTCTTTATTAGTCCATTCGGAGTAGGACATTAAGCACCCGTTTCATTTTTTATTGAGTTTCCATGCAATAGACTAGTGTATTTCATGTTAGGTAGGTATATACTGGTTATTTTAGACCCCTTTTTAGTAACCTGCAATAGACTAATTTATTTCGTGTTAGGTAAGTATCAATTACCTGTCATTCACGATTGATTGTTATATTTATATCGTATTATACAGTATTGTATAGTTAGTCAATAGTTTGATTTGATTGATTGTTATATTTATATCGTATTATAAAGTATTGTATAGTTAGTCAATAGTTTGATTCGTCAAGTTCGTCCAATTGGGCAATGCGCCACCCATTATATTACGCAGTACATAGTGTATATAGTCACTTCTCTAAACATGGGGTACGGAGACCTCAAATCAACCTATCGTGGAAGTGTCTACATAGTTTAGTAAAGGAATCGATCTAGCCAACTGGTCGTGGAAGTGTCTATATAGTTTAGTAAAGGAATCAATCTAGCCATCTGGTCGTGGAAGTGTCTATATAGTTTAAAACCATGAATTCTGTTATTGTTTTAATTCTACTTGGGTGCATCACAGGTTAGTAAGGTTTCCTGTCTGTTGTAAAACAGAAAAAAAAAATTATATGCTTTAAAATTAATTACATACTTTTAAATTGATTATAATATTGATTACAATATTATGGTTTTAAATTGATTATATGCTTTAAAGTGGCGCTATAGAAGATTAGATAAAGAGATGTCAGTTCTCGCTATAATAGTTTATACTAAAGCAAAGATACGCTAAACAGTAAATCTTATGCAAGAACCGATACGAAAGCAAACATGGATAGATAAACCAACACGCGGCAGTTTTCATCAACCCTTCCTTGAAGTGTAAAATTTGACAATGAACTCCTCCCACGTGTATGGCGCTATTGCGTTTCGCATGTGCAGCCCGGTGGTTCTGTTGGGGCGACAAGTTCTTCATCTGTGAACATACTCTCAAAGCATGTCATTTGTCCATGACTATTTATCATATCACAACCTGCATAGGTATATTTGCATTTCTATATCCCCTACTTTTTTGAAGAGTATATTACGCAACGTCTTAAGCTCAAGACCACTAAACAACTTAAAATACAGACACTCGCACGTGTTTTGCAATGAAATAAGTCACGCAGGTCCAAAATTTCAACTAGCACAACTAATGTACGCTTGGCACATTGCCCCTTGTCTGCGGGATCACTTCGATGGAAGCGGACGTTAAATAAAGCTATTTCTCACACACATTGCCTGTACCATTATTTGAAATAATGGAACGTCAACATCAAAGGATGACGTCACATGTGTATTTTAATGGTAATTAAAGTTAAGCTAGGTTGATGCTGATGATGATGATGATGACTTATCTATTTATCTTTCAATGTAAATTTGTTCATTTTGTACATGTTAGTAATTGTTTTGAATGTATAATTTAGATAGAGATGAATTTATATACGCTTCAGCTTGTTTTCTAATCCATTATATCAGTGTTATAAATACAATATGTATTGTTTAAACCAACCGCCGTTGAAACGCAGATCGGATTTAAACCCTTTTAAAAATCTAGACTATACGATGTCATCGAGAGTTGATTATGGTCTTGGTAAATTGGTTAATGTCTAATTAACAATTTATATAAAATCTAATGCATAAATAAAGACCTGTAAAATAGGCAGATCTAGCATAATGCCTGCATGTTTAAGATTCAGTGTCGTTGCCTTTACGTAAGTAGGGCCGCCTGGCCTTTTTCCGGGTCCTGCGGCTTTCTCCCACTGCTAAATATCTCTACCCGCAAGCTAATTATTGAATAAAATTGAACCACATGTTAGTTAATTCGTGTATGTAAGGTTTCCTGAGACTCGCATAATGTATGGATTTTCCATAATGTGATATGATTTGAATTGATGCTTCATGTGTTTTTTCTTTACAGTATTGCAAGCTGAATTGTGCCGGGAGCAATCGTATTCTGGTTCTTATTCATACAAGTACTGTTATAGATGCTGTGGTACATCGTATTATGAGTATTGCTGTAGTTCATACAATACATACAATGAAACATCGTAAGTGTGCACTCCTCTCAAAATAATTCACAAATCTACACCGAGTTCGTCGCCAATTTATATACGCCCACAGGTCAGTGTTTTATGCCGTCACCCGTTTCGGTCCGTCAACAACTGGCCTGTGAAACGGCTAGAGGTGTTTAATGTACTGTCTTCAAATTTGGCGTGAATGGAGGGCGAATTTCATCGATAGTCCGCGTTCTGGAGTTAAGCCAACTTTTACTTTTGAACGCGATAGATATTATGTTTTTTAATGGATTTCTGTTTTCAAATTTGGTGGGCAGCATTAGGGGTGATAACTCTATCGATATTAAGCGTTTGGGACCGTCCGTTTCAGATTCTCACCGCACCTCCGCCATTTCTGAAAACCGGTGAAAGCGATGAACATTTATTTTAAGATATTGTCCTGACTTATGATGTTATCTCATTTTCGCATGGAGTAGAAACTGGAGTGGTACCAACAACTAAACATATAAAATAATGAGCGAAATCTTTTTCCAAATTACCTGTTATCATTACACACCGGACCCACCACTGATGACCTGCTAAATGATGTACTTATTTGTGTCACTGATACTTTATTGCAGCTCCAGCTCCAGCGTGACTATATTTGCTGCTGTTTTTGGTACTATGGCAGTGATAGTGATTTTAAGCTGTGTAGCATGTGTTTGTTGTGCCAGTTGTAAAAATCGATCCTCTGGTAGAGTTCTAGCAATGAATCCATCATCAAATGTAGCTACTATTTCATATGGTGAGAAAAAAAAGGGGGGGGGGTAACGTCCACTAGGCACAAACTATGTGATGTCTGGACTAACATCTGGTTCAATGTTATGTCAATAATTCGCTTGTATATAAGGGTCTTTAGCTGTGCGAGAAAACCCACGAGGTTGGACAGCCGACCCCTACCTCTTGTCATGTATAAGCAGGGATTCGAAACAACGCCGCTTGACACAATGGCAAACCTGATGGTGTAACGCACCATTTTGTGAGCGACATTGACCAAATAAATTATTAAATACAAAAATTGAAATTCTGAACCGACATGGCCAATGAAGACATGCTTACGCTTTACAGTGTGTTAAAGACTCTTCTCGGCGATGTTTTGATTCAGCTCACTCTACACCAAGTCAACGCTCTTGTGACTGGTAGAGAAAATAAATTTGCATAGTCAAGTAGATGATGCGCTTGTTTGCAAATGGCCGATTTTTTTGGATATGTCGGACTCTTATGTTGTAAACAGAAATCCCCAAATGATGTTTTTTTTTCATGACGCGCCTAAACTCTACCTAAACATTAGCAATCTGTTTCACAGGGATATAACGAAGGGCTTCTAATAATTCTATAAAAGATAACTGCTTTCAACATGTGACGTCACATCCCGCGGCTTTAATCATTGACTAAATGACGCATGCATTGCTTACATGAGACGTTACTGGAACCGACAGAATGACGCCTTTTACTCATTTTAATTAAGCATTTGCACTAAATATGAAATATTGTTACCTACATAAACGTAAAACAACTTTATTTTTCTAGTGATTTAACAAATGTTCTAGTTAATATCGGGGGCTCTAGTGAATGTCATATTCCTATCAGTGATTGTGGCGGCCTAGCGATTATTCACCCTGATCAGTGTGATGTATACAGGATCTCATATGTCAAACAAATAGATCTTCAAGGAGCCATATTAAGACAATAGATATTTTCATTGGCCGAGAATTAAAATTCCAGTACAAATTTCAGTATTCAACCAATGAAAGGTCAGCATTGCAAAGCCTCTATGAAAGTATGTATTTATGTTTCAGGCCAGCACTCTACAATTTCCTATAATAACCAAGTGGGGGTAGGCCAACCCCCACAGCCCTATACCTACTCAAATCCAGCTTATCCACCACAACCACCAACCTACAATCCAGCACAACCACAACCCTACAATCCACAAGCACCCCCTTATTATCCATCACCGTTTGATGAACAGCCACCACCTTACAGTCCTCAACTTCCTGGATCAGTCGACACCGACCTATTCCCGAATAACTCGGAACCAGAAAATAACCCCAACCCTAATCCGTCAGAACCGTCAAATCCATCAGTAGAGTGGCCCGAAAACAATAATAATTCTGTACAGGGTCATAGCTAGTTCAGAGCAACGAGGGGACAGGAAGTGTTCTCGTGAGTGCTGTAAAATTGACGGGCAATGTATATCTATTGTTATTATGGTCAACAATATTTTCACGGGGGGTGGGGGGGGGGTAGTTACGGGCCTGATTCTGTATCTACAATAATAATGAGGACCAGGACAACCAAGAGTCTGAAAGTTAAGATACTTTCTCCTACGTCGAATCCAGTTAAGCACATTTTCATTGAGTGCAGGCATCTCAAATATATAAGATCGCAATTTTACCGTTGTCAGTCATTAAATCACATGTTTGCCCAACCGGGTCTATATTGTAAAGCGCTAGATTTTTTAAAAGGGACAAATTTTAATTGTATATATCTGATTTTCCCTTTCATGTTTTAAATATATATACATAAAAACTTTATATTTATTTTTATTTGATATTTACTGTGATATTTGTTTTTATTTATGTATATATATATATATAGATATGTGATTATATGTTTCTAGTTTGTCTCGAGAACCCTCACCATATGTTTGGCGCAATATAGCCCGGTTGGAGCTGACGTGCCATTAAACAACATTTCATTCCATTTATATAACAACGTGTAAGACTTTTTAAAAGAGACAGGATTTTATTATGAATTTTAATTGTATATATCATTTCATTTTTGTTTTTAAATATTTGTATGCATAAAAGATTGATTTTATTTTTAATTTTACTTACTGTGATATTGTTTATATTTATGCATATATAATTTTTTCTGTGATATAATTTAGCCTGTCTCAAAGTAATCACCATGTGTTTGGCGCAATATAGCCCGGTTGGAGCTGACGTGTCATTAAACCATATTTCATTTCATTTCCTTCGTGGAATTATGAGCACAAATGAAATTAGTCGTAATGTAGTTTCAAATGAAGGTAAATCAAACCCAATTTCATTCATTCCGTACAGAGACAAATGTGCACCAGTGCCTATAAAAATAACTTAATAAATAAAATGATTGTTGTCCCCGTTAGATGACCAGTGAAGTTTATCTTCTGTCTCGATGTAGGGGCGGACTGGGTTGCCGGACGTGGTCCAAGGGTACTGAGACCCATATATAGGTTTTGTTTTAAATAAATAAAATTAATCTTTGTATCCACTAGAAAAACATATAGTGGCCTTATACGAGAACAATTGATCCTTGAGTACCAATCTGGTTAAAACACAGATCCTATTTCGTTTCGTTTTTATAGTTCAAAATTTCGTTTTACTGGTCTTTACTACACTTGGATCTGGAAGAGTTGTTCATGTAACGATGTGCATTACGATGTAATTTACATACATATATTTTTGTTATTACTATTCCCAGAGTCAGTAGTGCGTTAAGATATTACTTGGTTTTCTTTGATCGCCTTAGTGTTATTTCTTTTATAATGTTATTGGTTTCACCACGTCCTCCTAATACCATATTGGGGTTCTGTTCTTCTCATCATTTGACGGTTCAGTTGTACCCGAAATCAGCCTAACGAAGCTACCGGAAAACTACGTAGTTAAAGAAAGTGTTGAATTCAATGGAACGAGACTGGGCATTCTCCCCATATTGACTTTCTTTGCCTACAACATTATATTTGAACGTCCGATGATCTTAATGTTTGTAACCAATAAAATGTAGTTACCTCCCTTGCCTATTCATAATGCATGAGAGAGAGGGGTGGAGTTGAACGTCCACTCAATACAAACTAGGTTATTTCGGGACTAATTATGGTACAATGACATGGACTCGAGGGAGTGGCGGTCTAATAGTAAGTAAGTGCAGGGAAACTGATTGGATAATATTAGATTGATTTTAGTGCTTAGCCAATCAAAATTGAAGTAGTTACTAAAATTTGGATTTTATCTGTAGTTAAGATTTCGAGAAACGGCCCTGCACTTTATGTCCTCTACTTAATAAATGTTCTCTTACACTCCTATATCCAATATTTGGGTACTTTCTAATATGCCAATCCAACCTCCATAACAGTACTGTATCTATCTATCAATCAATGAAATTTCATATTCGTTCAACCTTCTTCATAATTGTTCTTTTCCTTGCCCCTTATAAACTGGCTATATTACTTAGTATAAAACCATTACTCACTAAAAATTCCAACTGTTCCCCGGGAATATTAAAAGATGGTCATTCAGGCTCTCTTTTTGCCACTAGAGTTCGATCGTCTAACAATAACCCCCTTCTGTTGCTAAGAGCCTCACGTGAACATAATTTGTCTACTACTGTAGAGACATCTCCTATGAGACTCGATCATTTCTGGAACAATCTACTTCATGAGCCAGTTCAGGACGGTTTTCCAAACGATCTTCATATGACAGCAAGTCTGAAACAATTCCTGTAACTGATTCAACTTCGTGCTTGATATTAAATACAGATTGATAATTCGAAGGATCCTTGACTGTATGTCAGTTATCAGATGATATTCCATCATAAATCGTACATTACGGAGTTCAGAGTACCGCCCCTTCTAGCGACCTTGACGCTTTATCGCGTAAATCATTAATTTCCGTCATAGTCCGGATTTTTTGTCCGTATGCTAATGAGGTTCGTTGAAGATCCCATATAAGGTATATGTTCTAATATGCTAAGTTCTATTATGCATTCGTCTATTATGCAGAATGAAGAAGTGTAATGTGCAAAATAACTATTATACTATGGAAGGGTATCGCTGCCAATATTAAATGCTCTGCTAAAATGTCTTTTCTATTGATTGCGTGTAAAAAGTACAAAGTCTTAATCCCAGTACTGTGGGAAATGAGATGTGACATTTGTCATTTGACGTTTTACATTTAACTTTGGCCTAAGCGGTATTTTGACTTCATCATTACCGGCTTGAGGACATTGTTCATTGTACTTTTTACATATAATCAATGGAAAAGACATTTTAGCAGAGCATTTAATATTGGCAGCGATACTCTTCCATATTATACTTTATTTTGTATTTTTGAATAGTATATACTGTATTTTAAACACTGTGAAATTGGTATTGTGGAGCTATGAAAATTGTAAAACTAAAATACGTATTTTGAACTGCTGGCATATGCAGTTTGCACCGTGAACATTGAAATAATATTGGCAACCTTATCCTTCCATGGGCATCCGTATGTTCTAAACTAAGACTGTAAAAAGTACAATACTGGGGCCTGTTTTACGAAATTTTAACTAAGATAAAATCCAAATTTTAGTAATTTGATTGGATAATATTAGATTGATTTTACTGCTTAGCCAATCAAAATTGAAGTATCTAGTAAACAGGCCCCTGGTCGCTTGTAAAATGATATATCGACTTCTCATCGTACTTTCCTATCTGTTTAAACCCACATAGCTTGGCAGAATTTTCGCCAATATTGTTAAATTGGCTCGTAAATATTATTGGAAAAGCTTAAAACAAGAAAATTCTGTTGCATGATTGCGGCACTGAAAATTTAATTTATGCATAGCGACTTCTTGCAATAAATCGCAATATCTTTTTGCACTACAAAGTTTGGCTACAATCCGTCTAATCAAATGTACGGCATTGTACATAGCTGTGTCGTGACCACATCAAATGAAATTCTTACAAAATGCATAACTTATTGGATCCATCCATTGCAACATACCATGTATCGTCCCTGGCTGGGAGCCGCGGTGACCCAGGGAGTAAGACGTTGGCTCGCTAACATGGAGGTTTCGTTTTCGATCCCGGTGTTGACCAAGAAAGTTCATATTGTTTTTCGAGGTCTGTTCCCCTTGTCAGTGGTGTGGGACTTGGACCCTGACAAGGAGCGGCGCACATTGGTTCGGATGGAACAAAAAACTGTATGGACATTGACGTACACGAAAAGGACCCTTGGCAGTTGGAATTTAATAAAAAAAAAAGTGCAAGCAGACCAACCCAACTGAAGAATATATTTTGATTGAAATTTGGTCGATAGCTGTCTACCGCTTGTTTGCTTACAAAAAAATGTGTTTGTTGGTAAAAGGATCGAAATTCTTAAATATTTATTAAATAACAATAAACCAGTAGACAGTCATCGAATTTGGTAAAAGGGTGGGGCTCGAATTTTTGCAGAATAATATTAATAATGAAAATGCTAAAATAAAACAAGCGGTTGCCATGCAAAATAAGTTCACATTTTTCAAGAGATGGACAAAGAACAAAATCGATCTTTCGTACAGTCGTTGGCCATATCGACAGGGACCGAGATCTGTGGGACATAATCATCTTTAAGTTTCATCAAAATCGGGTAAACATTGTGAATTCTATAGGGTCCAGGACCTGGGTATGACATACTTTTACACTATTTGCGTACTGGGAGCGGCCATTTTGTCGACAGTTTCGGTCCGATTTTCACCATCATTACGGTGTAACTGTCATATATACTTGAACGGTTTTAAAAATAAAATAAAAAGTAATACAAAAACAAAGTTAAAACTGACTTTTCGTACAATAAGGGGTCATAATCCAGGAAGTTAGGTCCAATATGCGCCAATATTGAAAGAAACCGAGATCGGTGGGTTATAAACATACATTTTACGTTTCGTCATAATAGGATACAAATTGTGACATCTAGAGTGTCCACAAGCTAAAATCGTGATTTATTGTATAATCGGGTGCCATAAACCATGCAGTTATGACACGATACATGCCGATATCGATAGGAACCTAAATCTTTGGTATATAAACCTATATAACAAGTCTCGTCAAAATTGGATAAAAATTGTAACCCGTAGAGCGTCCAAATATAAAAATATTGCCGCAATATACGTAGGCAAGAACATGTGGGCGTAGAAATAGACAATGTATCAATCCAATCGGCATGACATTTCATGCAGTTTGCTATTCCCAAATATTCAGCTGTATTAAAGTATACCGATGCGCCATTTTAATTTTCATTAAAATATCAAATTTCCCACGGCCTAATTCTACATGCTAAATATGTACTCCGGTTAATTATTTACCAATTAAACATGCATTATGACGTCACATTAATAATGACGTCATTGTATTAATCATATTAAACATACATTATGCAAGAGCAAAATCTGCTTATTACAAGTCTTTCTTTAGGCCTGAAATGTTATCTAAATTATCAATTAGACATTAATTAGCTTATCCAGACCATAATAAACTCTCGATGTCAAGGCTAGCCTTCGATGTAGGCTTGATTAGATTCCTATATGCCGCTAACGGCCAAAGTTAATTAAATCAGAAAAAGTGGATAATCGAGACTATGCTGTTTATATTAATGATTTTAGTAATGATAACTGAGACTATGCAAAAATGTCACCGGCTTCTTTCTCGGCTCATAGTGGATCAATTTGACTGAAATTTTCAGCAAATTACCTTTACACTATCTAGTTTTTAACTATTATAGCGAGAACTGCCATCTCTTTATCTTATCTCCCATAATGTATCTTTAATTGAGGAAATAAATCAAAATTCCGACGTTAAATAATCCCCGGCTTAGATTTACTCGAACTCATGTAACAGGCCTATCAATTTAATTCATAGCAAACAACGATGCCGGTCACGTATTACCTAGCGTATATCGATGGAATTTTCAAGGGATTTTATAGCGCTAAATGACGCATCCGGCCTTTAAACAATCTACATTTTTAATTCAATCGGCCATAAATTTGCTAAAAACACAATCCATAGACTCACGTATTGAACATGCTATGTATCTGTAATAACATAGAAACATTAGTTCCTCTAAATCGAAAACACGGACACGAGGCAGTTGTAAATTTATTTTCCAAACGTTTTTAAATTGCCAGATTCGGAACATAAATACATAGTAATATCAAACCGCAACATCATGGGGTTTTCTCCGGGTCCTACAGTTTCCCCCCACTGCTAAACGTCCCTACGCGCAAGCGAATTATTTGAATAAAATTGAACCATGTTAGTCCCGAAATGACCTGGTTTGTGTCAAATGGACGTTAAACACCACTTCTCTCTCTCTCTTTCTGATTGCTGCCAAATTTAACTAACTAGTAAA